TTTATAACGTCTCACCCAAAGATACTGCTGTAGACCTAGTTTCTAGAGATTATCTGTTGAAAAACACAATCCAATAGACTTATGCATAGCAGTCATCTTAAGCAATGCCTTTGTTTTGCTGGGATATATGCATGAGTGAAGTTCAAACTTGTGTGCATTCAGTGTTACTGAATTAAACTAACAAAAGATGCCTTCTAAGATGGCCGCTACACATAAGGTCTATCTCACTTCGAGCAAAACCTTGGGTGTCTTCCCACCAAAGGGTCACCGCATCTAGTCATCCAAATCCATGAATGCATGTAGAAGTTATACACTTTTTTTCTCGAAAACTTAACCTAAATTTTAACGTACGGTCATACGGAGAAAGGTTTATACAGTAGAGAAGTTAGGACTGGTAAGTGTCCCCGAAGTTCGTTTACGCGACCGAAAACCGCTATTATGTGTCTTGGGCTATCCTGAAATTGAGCGCCCACATCTTAAGGGTACAGACCAGTAATTCGACTCCCATAGACCTCAGTGATAATTACGCGCACTTCCAAACAAATATGTAAAATACTCGCAACTCTCCAAGGTGTCTGAGACACCATCAAAGTAATGCTTATTTCATCATCGTTTAGTTTCTGTTCAATTTGCGAGGGGTAATCCGATGACTTTTGGGAGAAAATTCCATCCAAAGATGATCACCCCTACAAAGAAGTCCTGTGACCCATCGCTATTTTGAAAATGATGCCAGAGCTCCGTTGCAAACAAAATAGGGCACATTTAAGGGCCCAATTTCATCCGATGTTCACAGAAATACGAGCTCGCAGTCCTTTGCGCGGCTTCCATACACTCATCTTCCTCTCTTTTTTTTTTTACAAACCTTGAAATTCATGGCCCACAAAATGCTCTAACAACAAACAATAGGGCATAGAAATCGTGATTTGGCCCGCGTAGGGAATATTGAGCCTACTGGTCTGTACCCTTTTTTTTAACGTCATTGGTAATTGCTGTGTATGTGATGCTCCATATCTGCCATCATAAAAATAACAACTCTCCTAAAGCGAATTTTTGGTTTGCGGATATTATGTAGACTCGACTCAAGTCAGAACTGCCTAAAGTCGGTATCTAAAAAAAAATCACACAAAAAAATCACAAAAACCACTTATATTAGTTTACATCTTTCCAGAAGCGCGACAAGTTACACTTACACACGCGTTCCACTTCAGTGCCGTATAACATGCAATGCGCTAATAATGTGTACAGCACGGGTTTGTTTTTGCATTCAATGAGGGACGTTGAACAATAGAGGACAATAGGGTTCACAATTCCCGAAGGTCCACAATTGACGATCGTGTACAAAACACGTGGGAGATCTTCCTAAAAGAGTGAGATCTTCCTAAAAAGTTAAACAAACAAAAGAGGCATAATAGGGGGTGCACAATATTGAAGATGTTTCCTTTCAGTCCTCGAGCGTTGGGTCTTATGTTGAAAACGATCCTCGATCGTACGGTTAGTGCTTAGTCTATGGGAGAGTGTTATACGTGTATTACAGGGACAAAGGGAAGCACAAAGCATTGTCCTCGAGCGTATAGAAATTCACGACTGTGTGTGTGTGATAAACCAGTATTCAGATATACGTTGTGTGGACTTGTCCACCTCCACACAAGGTTTAAAGGCATTTTTGGGTTAGGTTTATCCGTCGCAAACTGAAGAGAAGCACTCAAGGGAATCATATTTCATAGTAAAAAAAATAACAGCGTTGCTGTTGAAACCCCTCAGCCAGAGTCAAAATATCATCTGGAAACCATTAACCTTTAACTGAACATGGTGACCTTGACCTTTGACCCCAGAACCAATCCCAACATGCCTGTACTTTTTTGGCAAACCCCTACCGAAGTTAGACACCAAAATCTCATTTCTAACTCAAGTTATCATCCGGAAACCATTTACCTTCAACTCACCACAGTGACCTTGACCTTTGACCTTTTGACCTCCAAACCAATCCCAATTTGCCTACTCCCAAGGGCAACCTCCTACCAAAGTTAGACACCAAAATCTCATTTCTAACTCAAGTTATCATCCGGAAACCATTTACCTTTAACTCACCACGGTGACCTTGACCTTTGACCTTTTGACCTCAAAACCAATCCCAACTTGCCTACTCCTGAAGGCAACCCCCTACCGAATTGCGCCCGCGCTGTCGGTCTAATTGCGCCATTCGGATATATCGTCTATCTAGCCCCGCCTCTCCCCCCCCCCCCACACACACACACATCGAAAAATAATAGTAATAAAATATTGTAAAAACAACATTTGCTTTTGCTGCAATTTTCAGAAATAAATGGATTTGGAGGATTAGTATGTTATAGAAAATATTGTTACTCTGACTTGTTTCACGTTTTGGGTTCGTAGATGCTGGAAAAACCAAGAAAACCAATCATATTATTGTAGTCTGGTTCCCTGACCCCACTTAAGATAAAACGGACAAATTGATAGACTTTGGGGAATTGTAAGATCAGAGAATCAGTCTAGCAGGGTTTTAGTCTTCACATGTGTGTATTCAATTGCAAAGAAAATGCAGACGAACTAAATATAAAAAAGGAGAAGCACTTTTTGAAAAAGGCCAGTTTTCTCCAACGCTGGTCGGCCGACCAGCGTTGGAAAAATACAGTTTTTCTTGAAAACGTCAGCACACCAGGAGCCACAACTTTACAGGATGCTTTAGACTGTCATTCCCTAACAATCCAGTAAGATATTTCGTGATAATTTGATCATTTCGTTTTCTGATGTTTGCAAATGTTGTATCTTCCCTTTAAAACTCAAGAAGTATAATATCCAAACTGATTGGATGTTTCCAAAGTGTCTTTCCCAATTGGAAAGTTCTTTTTGAAAGCCCACGAGCGAGATGACCACCGTCCCATTACGAACACATTCTCGTAAAAGTTGGTCCGGCACTGCTGAGGTTTGCAGTTTTTGCCGGTCAATTGAGCGTGAAAAGCCGTCTGATAAGGTTTGTGCACAAAACCCCCGGCGCTTGGGATTTTGTGTAGAATGGATTAGACACATGAGGGCGCACGTTGTACTGTTCGTACCAAAGATAGACATGTCTTGGTACGTACTGCGCTATGCGTGCAATTACTACAGGCACAGACCGAGCGCAACCCAGACTTGGGCCAAGTCTAACAGATATGGAACACCCTAGCTAAAAGTGAAAGGTGGGAGGTATGGTGAATGATTTATGACCAGGCAGAACTACACTATTGAAAATGTGTACCAGCCATCGGGATTGACAACTAAAGTATGAGTTTGTTTCCCAGTTACAGGATCGAGAATCAAAATTAATTGAATTAATAATCACTTCTTTTAATTATTTCAAATGGACGGTTTTACAATAGAATAAATCTATACACAGCAAAACGAAACCAGGAGAATATACAGTCATCAGGTATCAATTTGTACAAATAGAATTTGAATTTGCACAGATATATACAAAGTGGTTGGAAGCAAGCTCTCCTTGGAACTGGTAGAAAATTGGTCAAAGATTCATCTGATTTAAACAAAATGAAGGCACATTCTTTCACAGAATAGAATAATTAATATATGTTGAATAGAAGGACCAAGAGTGGAATCTGAAATCCCATATGTTAACCATACTGAATTGGGGTTGGCATCTGTGGTTAGTCAGGCATAAACACATGGAGAAGTATTAGGTAGCACTATACATGATTATTACAAGAATATAATGTTTGCATATGCTTTCGCAATGATATCTGATGAACTGGTTGTAGCTACAAATTTAGCTTAGGAAATGTTTTATTCTTGTTAGTCATTTAAGTGCTACCTTACTTTTCCCTGTATCATGCTAACTTTGAGAACATTTAATAAGCATGTTCATATGATAGCAATTTCCAATGATTTCTGCAGTCATCTTGAAAATTCTTTCATTACAACAAACTGTGAAGCTTAAAATACATTTTGTTTTTGAAAATTCTAAAGGACGGACTGTATGAGGCACTCTACTTTTACAATTTTATGTTATCCACAGGACGTAAAGCATATACATCTCTGAAAGACAGTGACAATTTCACTGACTGAATTTGTAAGATTCATCTTTAAAAATATAAAACAAATGGACGGAAATAAGTTAATAGCCATATATATCTATCAGAAGTACAAATTATATTTGCAGGGAAAGAACCCCCACACCTCCCTAAAAAACAAATGGACTATTTACAAGTGAAACGCCTTTAACATTTACAAAATGTCACATGCAAAACTGATGTAAGGCCACCTGAAACAACAAAAGCATATGGAAAAGTTTCAAAATCTGTATCATCTGTGTTACATACTCATATATTAAATCTTTATCAATTCAATCAGAAAACAAAAAAATTAGTGGATAAATATCACACAAGTGTGCAGTGTGCACTCTGTTAACCGTAAATGTCATTTAGTCAGAAGTATCCGATGATACAGCCTTGAGTACTGATGAGGCCAAGAATATCGTGCTTTGCATTCAGTAACATCACCATGCCACATTTATATGCATGCTCATATCTTGTTGTATAATAGGCCACCTGACAAATCTTTCACAATGAAACAGGTTGTCATCAACATAATATCTGCTTATATTACAATGTCACAAAATGAGCAATATATCTAAATGAAGCACAGGACTGTACAGAAAACTAATCAATGAAAAAAAGAAACTTTTTTCCTTAATACTCGTTTGGTGGAATTTGGTCACATTTGTATAATTCTCCACAATTCATGTGTAGATTCATTTTGATCCATTAGTACATACTGCCCCAAACCACCCTGCCTGTTACTCCCTGTACCGCCCCAAACCACCCAAGTACTGTATGGTTTTATGAATTCATCAGGCAATAAATACAATGTAATACAATGTAATACAATGTAATATAATGTAATACAATGTAATACAATGTAATACAATGTAATACAATGTAATACAATGTAATACAATGTAATACAATGTAATACAATGTAATACAATGTAATACAATGTAATACAATGTAATACAATGTAATACAATGTAATACAATGTAATACAATGTAATACAATGTAATACAATGTAATACAATGTAGTACAGGTGCTGATGGGTTAATCTGAACAGCAGCGCTATCTTCAATCATCCAGCTGGCACAACAACGCCACCCCTCGGGTGATCCAGAGATCGGCCGGCTGCGACGTGGGCAGATGGATGGCAGTGACAAAGTTGGTAGAGTGACCAGTGGAGGACAGGGTACCAGCGCGCTGGGAGGTCCGATACAGAGGGCATTCGTACAATGTGCCGGTCCAGGGGGTACTGCCTCCCTCTTCCTGGGCGGGGCTAGGGGTGGGTGCAGCTGAGGAGACAGAGGGTGGGGCGACACCTTCTAAAGACGCCTGAGAAGGAGGAGAGAATGGTTCACCATGAGAATTGGTTACAGTCCAAAATCGAGTGTGAAACTGCAACAGAGCAATGTTTATGTTTATATGAAGTGACAATTCATTTTTTTGGAATAGTTCTTCTACTTTGTATTTTGTAATATGGAATTCTTCGAGCACTGTCTTGGGCTGGCCATGTGTTGGGTTGTATTTGTTGATGCCTCTGTCGGGCGAGTCGTTCGAGTTACTGTATTCATTGGTCTGGTTGTTGGTTGGGTGGATTGTCTGTATGTTGGTCTGGTTTCTGTTTTTGTCTGCTTGGTTTTTTTGGGGGGTTAGTCCTTGTACGGTATGATGATGTTTCTACATTTGGTCAAAATTATGGGTTTGTTAGATCACAGATTGATTTTAATGTGATACATACTTTACAATTACTAAACTGTTTTAAAATTCATGTAATAACTGAATAATTCATGTAATAACAGATATAATACAACAGAAATGGAGATTATACAACAGAATGTTTAGGTTTGAAAGTTAAATGAATGTTAAAAACGCTACAAAATACACCACAAGTAAGAAACACGACGACAAATTGCCACACTAAAACTGAGCTGGAAGCCATACTACAACACTTGGTAGCACCAGGCACACCAAAAAGTAACATAAAACAGGAACAATCGTAAGCTTCAACAGACAATTTTGCAGAGACGAGTGGTTGGCACGGTGCAGCGCCCTCCACATTTAACTTTCAAATTAAATTGAATTGAATTGAATATTTTTTTGTTTTCCTCTCATTTTGTTTGAGAAGATTGAAAAATTTGACACAATATTTGAATGTGACAAACAAGTTCTAGTTTTTTTGGATTCGGTGAAATTGATGACATTTTTCCGAGAAAACAAAGATTCACCTGTACTGGGATGAAGTGGACCTCGGGTAAACGGCAGAATCGCTCCTCTGGTCTGGAGTCCTGGAGCATGTAGGTAGCAAGATCAAAGCGTGCTCCGTCAAGGAACAGACCGAAAACCAGTACCCCATCTGCCGGTGGGCTGGCACCCTGTAACAAATAACAGAAGGGAAGATTACTTTCCGAGAAAACATGGTGGATAACGAGAAGGCTGTTGGGACAATCTCATGGAGCCAGTTTGCACAAACCTTTACTGAGCACTGATGAATATACTTTCTCAGGTAAACTGACTTCCAGTTAAAATGTCTGGAAATGTTCATTTATGAAGTAACTGGCTATAAGCTTCTTTTTTTTACTAGGCGAGCCAAATTTTCTGATTCCATCTCCATAAAATTGGGCCCTGATGAAATTTTTTTTTATCCATTCAAGCAGCTGTATCACTGCTTATGCTTAAGATGATTTCACAATTTTGTTCATGAAAGTTTTTTCTTATGAAAATTGTAACCTCATTAAAGCAAGGAAAGGTGGCTGAAAGAAAAAAACATGAAAAAAAAAACAAACGCACAGCTAAATTTCATGATCAAGTTCAATAAGTCGGCGCATTTTGTAAAATGTGGGGCTGAACTTCTGTAAACAAACTTGTGAATCGTGTACAGTTATTTGGAAAATGCGGAACAAAATAGCAACTGTAGACAAACACGTGTTAAAATTGAAGTGAAAATTTTTCAGATGACCAACCTTGAAGGCATTTTCTCTGACATTGATGTGCTCCTCCACATTACTGAGTGTCTCCTCCGTGTCATCGACCCCGGCCATGACCTTGAAGTCAAAGGTCAATGAATCGACAGACACGCCTTCCCTGCGAGCGTGATTCTGAAGAACGGCGGTCAGGAAACCTGTTGAAAAAAAAAGGAAGAAGTTACAATTTTTTCAAATTCGTTTTGAAAAAAAAAGAAAAACTTTTTGAACTGATAGGCGCCCCGTTTTATAAAGCAAACATGAAAATATGTATTTGAGCAATTTTTGCAAGAGCATTAAAATATTTTGCAAAGACATGGCACGGATATAACAACAGGTAATACACAACGCGACAGTCCTGAAAATAAATCTTCTCACTTGATAGTTAAGATATGGCAGATAAAGGCTACGTGAGGAAATCTTCACAGGCTGCAATTATTGTGTAAACAAATTTGTAACTAATTTTTTACATTGTTCCTATTTATACGTCAGTGAAGGGCAAAACCTAATATTGATTTACATTTTTCCTGTTATTACCACACTTTTGTTGTTGTCAAGTCTTCAGGATATTTTCTTGGCAGATGTCTTATCTACATTTGGCTACCATTTTCTGAAAATGAAAATTGTTTTAACTGAGGGTGCAGTAAAATGTTGACTTTCCCACTAAATTAGCACGCCATCTGTGAGATAGTAAAAGAAAGACAAGTTCATTTAGGGTAAAGGGACTGTTAATTACAGTAGCTGATTTTAATTTTAACTTCCCCCCTTCACCAACATCTTTTTGTAACGACTGTGTACTCAGTGCTCTCCTAGAGCGCACAAAACGATTTCACAAGAATGCTCAGCTGAGAGTCGAACCCACAATCTCTGATTCACTACAAGGCTCGCTCAATGACGACCATCTCTGTAGGAGAACTGCAACTGCGTATTTTACGCAGTCAAGCACAAATTGCACAGTGTTGAAAATGTTCCAAACACGCGCGCTTGTTGCTCGAAATGTGTTCGAAATACCACGCAGCCGATGCGCGTTATGCAAGTTGACGCTCAAAATGCTGGTGCACGTGGATGGTCTGTAGGAAATGACGTCATTTGAATAAGAGCTATTGCAGATGACTTAAGCCTCTCAACCAAACCAGCCAGAGTAGTAGGCTGGCTGGTGTGAATCTAATCAGTGGGTACTGCAATCAATGTTTTGAAAGATGAAATTTGCGCTAGATCAGGGATGTAGACGAGTCCATCACAAGTCCCTGCAAGTCCATCACCAGTCATCCAGTCCCAATTCAACTCACAAGCTTTTCAGAAGAGCTTTGACAAACTCTACAACATACCCTGTGCCAGATAGATGTAGTATGGCGAAATGTAATTTTAAAAAGATAAACAATTGATTCTTGATTTTTTGGTTCATAAAAGGAAAATGGAAAAACCAGACTGGGCTTGGAGTTTAGCTGGACTGGAAAAGTCTCAGCGTAGGACAGTATTTATACTCAGTGGATCAGTCAGTCAGTCAGGCCATGTCCGAATTACTTGGCTACGGCTTGAAATTACACACCTGTCTATGGTAGCCGCTGCAGCCACTCCCCATAGACTCGTGTGTAATATCAAGCCATAGCCAAGTAATTGAAATTACACACCTGTCTATGGTAGCGGCTGCAGCCACTCCCCATAGACCGTGTGTAATATCAAGCCATAGCCAAGTAATTGAAATTACACACGTGTCTATGGTAGCGGCTACAGCCACTTCCCATAGACTCGTGTGTAATATCAAGCCGTAGCCATGTAATTGGACACAGCCTCAGCCAGTCACTCAGCCAGTCAGAAGACAAAAGGCTGGCTCCTGCAAGTCCAGCCAATAAACTTTGACAGGCTGGTGCAAGGAGTAATTTAAATTCTTTTTCGCTACCAACCTTGAGGAAAGAAAAATCCCGGCAGCCAGAAGCTGCGAGGCTGTTCCCGTAGGGCGTCAATGTCGGCCGGCTCCACCGAGGGCTGGCTCTGACCTTTGGCCTTGCGTTCCTTGGCCTCCGACACCAGGTCGGACCATTTGGCGAAGAAGTCTACCCGGCGCTGGAGGTCGGCTACCCAGGAACCCAGGGGCTTGCAGGACTCATAGGCGGCTTGCTGGTTTGTGATGGGAAGCAGAAAAACAAATGGAAAAATAAAAGTAGCTGGAAAAAAAACACCTTTATTTTTGGTTGCTTTAGCGTTCTTTCGTTTTGGACGGTTAGTCATGACGGCTCGTTGTGACAGCTCGTCATGACGGTCGTCCTGTCCAATCACATTCCTCGCTGAAACGAAGGGGCGTGATCAATGGATCTTGGCCAATCAACTGGCTCCTCTGTACGGTAACCTTTTTCGTTCGTAATAAAGACTTTAGATTATTTTACACGCATATGGAACACACACAAACACCTACCCGCCAGGGACTGCCATGTCGAAAGCAACAACAATGGAAACTGAAAGCCCGGTTGCTCACTTTGAATGAGATTAGTGTAGTGTGAGAGTTTCCAAAGGGGCACGAGGCCATTTTTAGTGTTGCCGAATGATTCCGTAGAGGGTCAGACAACATTATTTTCAAAATGGCAGGCTGAGGTGATCTGTTTCGCGAACGAACAAATTCACACACAAACAGGCATCGTAAATGCTGTTATTATCCTCACTCATATGTTTAAATTATTTAAAACGTTGCGCAGCCACGCCAAATTTCGTGAAATCGATCGTAAGTTTATTGCACAGTGGCGCAACAAAATTGTTTCGTAAGTCTTATGCATAGCGCAAGCTGCACATTTTTTCGTGAAATCAGCTGCTGAAGACTGGATTTGATTTATCTAGTTAACTGCCCCCTCTACCGCATCGGCGGCTTGACCACTTTTGCCCGGGATTAGCAAATCCAGTATTGTCCCCTGACTGTAGCCTTTCACTACTAACCTGCCACGTCTTGGGCACCCTGTGATGCAGTAACGCCTTATACATCTCCTCCAGTATCTCCGACATGACAACTTCACCCTTGATGGCCAAGCACAGGGCCGCCAGGCTGCCGTGGATGACAGACAGAAGTCTGTTGAAGCGATCCAGCTCCTGTCTCAGGACAGTCAGCAGGGCTGAGGGGGCCTCTGGCTCCTGACTGAAAGGATCCTCTTGGACAACAGCTGAAATAAACAAAAACAAGTTAAGGCCGAGCAAAGAAATTGAAGAGAGCAGGACTTGATCTTATGACCTCCGGAACACTGTATCGTCGCTCTACCAACTTAGCTATATCCAGCCCTGGTAATGTGGCCCCGAAGTCATTTTGGATTCAAGATGCTCTGTGGTGCGATCTGAGGCAATTTCTGACCACTGTAACCAAAGTTTTTTTGAGGAAACGATGGTGGAGTGCGCAGTGCCTGCCTTTATTGCAACGTCACTTTTTTGAGGGGGGGGGGGGGGTGGGCATGGCCTCCCTTGGATCCGCCCTTGGAGGTCTGGTCCGGTGATCTGGAGGTCGCAGGTTCAAATCCCGCTGAAAGTCAATTACTTTGTTCAACTTTTTAAGTATAATATGCATCTAGCCAGGTTCCCTTTGAGGACTTTTTCACACAAAAAACACAGTGGGAATGGGATTTTAAGTGGGGTTGGGAATCCATAAACTTTCTGAAAGTACTTTCAGTCTCCACTCTTTCAACACAACACCCACTCAAGTCTTACAATGAACACTCATCTGCTATTCCTTCAAAGTACTCAGTCAGCGAAGCATTGACAAAAAGGCTGGATTCCTTCTAGTTCTTTACAGCCTTATATTTCAGTTTATTTGACAACTTGGGTAAAGACTTGACTACAACACTGTTATTACCAACCACACTCCCATCTCACCTTTAGCTTCGGCCGCTTTCTTGGCACCAGTGCCAAAGCCTGTGCCAGTACCCCCGTAGCCCAGTCCAGGGAACATGCCTTGGGTGTTGGACCTCCCCCGTCTCCCTGCCTCCTTCTTGCTCTCCATGTCTTTCTCCTCCTCCCCCTGGATGCTGACTGAGAGCTGGTGCTGGATGTCAACCGCAAGCTCCAAGACGATCTCGTCGTCACTCTTTCCAGTTCTGCAGAATACAGTCAATGAGAAAGCAATGACAAACCATTGAAAAGTTGATGACATGTCGATGACAAATCAATGACAAGTCAATGACAAGTCAATGCCAAGTCAATGACAAGTCAGTGACAAGTCAATGACAGGTCAATGACAAGTCAATGATAGGTCAATGACAAGTCGATGACAAGACGATAACAAGTCAACGACAAGTCAATGAAAACTGAATGAAAAACGATCAGAAATCACAAAGAGGTTATCCAAACTCAGTGACAAGTCAGTTAAGAGTCGATGACAGACAGACCAATGACAAGTCTATCACAAGTCGATGACAAGTCAGTAACATGTCAATCACAAATCAATAGAACTTATCCCAAGTTAATGACAAATTAATAACGAGAACATGGCAGGTCAATGACAAACCACAAATCAATAATAAGAGATCACAAGTCCATGACAAGCTATTGTAAAGTCACAAACAAACCAACGACAAGCCAAACACTAGTCAAAGGGAGTTAGTGTGGAGTCAGTCACAAGTCAATTACAATAATGAGAAACAGGAGATTGACAATAAATAAGAAATGCCCCTTACAGTTCATTTGAATAGAGCTTTTCAAATTTGACGAGAGGTATGACTTTTATGACACTCGCAAATTCTCTTGTGATATTCTCTATGTTATATTTAATCATATTTGTGGACTTGGATAATGATTGGACTACTACAGTAACAGCGTTTCTCACCCAATCATCTGAGCTGTCAGTCTCGGCTGTACACTGAGCACCGTATCCATTAGTCTCTTAGCTTGGCTCTCTCTGTAAGCCTTCTCGGCGTTGGCGTGCATCCCAAACACCTCCGGAGAATCAGTGTCCGGTAGGCCCTCAATATATTGACGACTCTCCGCTAAGGAGAAACGGCTCGGCAGGGGATGGTATACCTAAAAACATGAAATTATTTCATAAGTCTTCAGCAATTTGATATTGGACACAAAAGTTTATGTTAAAAGCATCTTGGCAGCTGATTTCCTGCAGATACTTTTCTGGTCAAAGTTTAGCCTTTCATTAATATCATTTATATACATAACATCTTAAACACATTTTTAAAACTTTATATTTTCTTTGTAGGAGCATTCTTAAGTTTGCCTTATTTTCCAACTTCATTTTCCGCCCCAAATAAAACACTGAGCAATAAATATTCAGCTGAGAATGAGTTACAATGAAGCAATGTGCATCAGGGCCCAATTTCACGGCGCTGCTAAGTAGAAAATCTTGCTGAGCACAATTACATGCTAAGCAAAAATCAGACGAGAACCAGTTACAACCATTGTACGTTTGTGTGACATTTTGGCTGGTGACCTGTTTTTGCTATTAAGCAAAATTGAGTTGTGCTGAGCAGATTTCTGTGCCTGCATGGGAGCTCCATAAGACTGACCCCAGGTTCATTTGCATAACTGGGGTTGAATGTGCAGGGGAGGGGGAGGCACTTGGCAGACCTCAATTTCTGGAGGGAGTCAGTCATTTTGACTTTCCTCAAATTCAGATGGGGGCCCAAAGGCCACAAGCAGAGGGGGCACAGGCCTAAAGTGGAGGGGGGGGGGTACAGGCCTCAAGTGGAGGAGGGGGGGGGGAGGTAAAGGCCACATGTGGAGGGGGCACAGGCCTCAAGTGGAGGAGGGGGGGGCAAAGGCCACATGTGGAGGGGAGCACAGGCCTCAAGTGGAGGGGGGGGGCAAAGGCCGCAAGTGGAGGGGGGGGCAAAGGCCACAAGTTGGGGGGGGGGGCGCAAAGGCCACAAGATGGGGGGGGGGGGGGTTAGCTCCCACGTCCCTAAAGTTATTCCATTGCCTGGAATCCACATTCTTACCTTGTCGGGAGAGTAGCTGTAAGTTGGCTGGAGCGCCTCGGAGCAGTAGAAGGAATTCAAGATGCTGATGAGACAGCGTCTATCCCAGGAATCGGTGACTCGGCCTCCGTAAGCCACCTCACCGGTCAGATAGCGGAGGGCTTCCCAGGGGGGATCCTGGTGGGTGGTCAGGAGGAGCTGCAGGACTTGGATGGATACCTTGATGAATAGAAAAAGGGAGATTTCTGCTTAGTTGTTGATTATAAAAGACAAATAGGCCAAATGTCACGGCTCTGTTGAACACAGCCTCAAAATCTCTCGTGATGGCTGATGGCAATTCAGAGCCAGAGATCTGCCATGTGACATAGTAAACAAAAATTCACAACACAGCCTAACACATGTAATCAATTATGAACATATTCTGACATTTTAAACATGTCTTGATATGCAAAGAACTCGAATTCCTAACCACAATATAAAAAATTGGGTACTCCGATAACAGTGTCTTGGTTCTCAGGATGAATTCCTTGTACTCCGCCTTAACTCACTTGCACTTGCATTACATTGTATCACACTATTTTACTCCATGAAACCATAAAACCATAGACTGTGGGGGCAGTTTGGGGCAGTATAAGGACTCGACTTGGGTGACTCCTAGTAAAAAAATAAAGCACCGTATGACTTCGCTGGAGGGAGTTCTGGACAGCTTGGAGCCATCTGACTCTAAGGGGCACTGTTCAAACATGTCCATTCAGCATAAAAACAGTGCAATCTTTCAACTTTACAGCCAGTCTGTGGCAGACAGTCATATATTTCAGTGTGCCTGTCAGACTCTGACAAGGGCTCGACTACAGCACCACACCATACCCACCTCCAGGTCAGAAGCGCTGAACTCGTAGGTGATGTTCCAGCCCAAGGCTCCATACTTTCTCCTCTCATTGATGACAGCATTGAAGAAGCAGAGACCAAAGAGCAGGTCTCTCCAGGCAGGGCCCGGGGAGGGGTTGTCCCACATGTCTTCTGAGACAGTGCTGGCCAAGGAACGCAGGAGGTTGGCCTTGAGACCCTGGGGGGATTCCACCGTCATCTGGCCAGGGATAATCACGAGGGTTAACGTGGTTGTTAACTAGTCTAAAATATGCCGATCAGAAGTCAATTACAGGTCAATCACAAGTCAAGTCAACCACAAGTCAATCACAAGTCAACAGCAGGTCAATCACAAGTCAACCCAGATCAATTACAGGTTAATGACAAGTCAAACGTATGTCAATTTCCAGTCAATCACAAGTCAACTACAGCTTAATCACAAGCCAACCACAAGTCAATCACAAGTCAACTGCAGGTCAGTCACAAGTCAACCCATTTCAATTACATGTTAATGACAAGTCAAACGTATGTCAATTTCCAGTCAATCACAAGTCAACTACAGTTTAATCACAAGCCAACCACAAGTCAATCACAAGTCAACTGCAGGTCAATCACAAGTCAACCCAGATCAATTACAGGTTAATGACAAGTCAAACGTATGTCAATTTCCAGTCAATCACAAGTCAACTACAGTTTAATCACAAGCCAACCACAAGTCAATCACAAGTCAACTGCAGGTCAATCACAAGTCAACCCAGATCAATTACATGTTAATGACAAGTCAAACGTATGTCAATTTCCAGTCAATCACAAGTCAACTACAGTTTAACCACAAGTCAATCACAAGTCAACCGCAGCTCAATCACAAGTCAACCCATGTCAATTACAGGTCAATGACAAGTCAAATGTAGGTCAATTTTTAGCTTATTAGAATAAGCTGCACATGATGTGACTCGAGACTGGACTTGGGATGTGATCTGTGACTGAGTAGTGATGGCTTGATTATAACTCTGTGAAAAGACGTTATAATAAACTGACACAATGGTAAATTATTATTAAGTTATCGCTGACAGTGGATAAATTTGAACCCGGTGAAATTTCACCTGCACAAAAAAAAATTAGTGCGAACACATCACAACGCTGGAGTGATTCTGTGTTGTTTTTTATTTTAATTTAAAAACTATGACTTGACAAGGATGGAAATGAATAACTTGAAAATGAGTATTTACTGGGTTTCGTTGATGTGTCACAAAAGGATTGAGTGGAGGGAAGGGGTAAGGGGTAGGGGACCAAGGGCTTACCTTCATTCCAGTCTGCAGGATGCTAACGGGGAAACACGGGTCTGGCTTGGAGCTTAGCCACAGCCGAAACTGGGGATCGATGTCAGCATTGGGCTTACTGAAACTGTGGGTTTAAATGAAAGCAAATTATTCAATCCTTCCAAAATAGATATACCAAACAATCAAAATGAGAAGCCATTACTGAGGTGTGCCACCCGCAGGTGGTATGCATGCACTGGGTGCTCTCTCGACCAGAGTTTTCAAATTACACCTGCCTCATTGCCCCATTCGAACACCTGTGAAATGGGCATGAGCTTTAATTGTTCCAACTCATTAATAATAGTGATTGCTGATTTAGATTGTAATTATAATTAACCCTAAGCATGTCAGATCCTTGAAAATCAAACAATTTCTTTTTTTAAAGGATTTCACTAAATTAAGGGAAGGTCAAGCTTGGCCACTTTTGCTTCAGATCCAAATTAATATTTCTTGAAAGTTAAAGTTCAAAGACTGTTCCATGGATCCTGTGCTGTATACAAGGATTTCAGACACGATCTGAACTTATCATGAAAAATGTCTTGAATTATTTTCATATCAAAAAACATAATTAACAATCATTTATATAAACAATAACAGAAATAATAGGAGGGATCCAGGTACATGCTTGTACAAGACCTGGGGCCCGGTAATTACAAAACTAAGTTATTAAAGTTCGGTGTATTAAAACCCAACCTACCCTTCAACGATGGCCTGTAACCTAGGCATGAACGATGCCGCCAGGTGGCAGTTTTGCAGGAACACCCATCGCCCCTTCAGTATCTGAGCCTTGGCAATCAGTTCCTCTGCCTTGGGACCTTGGCCACGTCCCAAGGAGATCATGTCTACATGTAGGGTACTGCCACGCTGCTCACGGGCAAATCGCATCAGCTCCGACGTCGGGTCCACACCTGAGAGACGGACAAAATTTGTTTGGTTGATAGGATTTGACTTGAGTTAGAACATCCTGAGCCTAGACAAGATCAGATTAAACAGCTTCAGAAGGATTCATAACAACCATTCACGAGTTTTTTAAGGAGCGGCTTTACTATTAACCAAACTAACCAAATTGATTGATTAACTCATCAGGCAAACCAAACCAACTTAACAAACCAAGTCAATTAACAAACCTAACTAACCAACTCAACTAATCGAGTCAACTGACCGAGTCAATAATCCAACCCAACTGACCAACACAAATAACCAACCCAACCTGCGAACCCAGTACCAACTCAAACAAGTCAATTAACCAACTTAACTATAGAAGCCAGCAATCAACCTAAAAAAAACACCAAAATCACCAACCAAACTTGCGAAACCACTTAACCAAGCCTATAAAGCAAACCAACTAAACAAACTAACCAAACCAACTACCAACACAATTTGCCCAAAGCACTTAATTAACCAAGCCAAATAATTAACCAAACTAACCAACCCAACTAACAAGCCCAACAACTGACCCAACTAACCAAACCAACTAAACCAGCTCATCTTACCAACTCCACTAACCAACCCCAACTAACCAAACCAACTAAGCCAGCTCATCTCACCAACTCAACTAACCAACCTCAAAAGCCTCCATCTGAGTTTCTTACCCGGTGACAAGATGAATATGAGAGGGTGCTTAGCGCTGGACTCATCAAACACTTCCTTCATGTCAAACCCACCAGCTGACAGGAATTTATTCCCCATCAGATCATCCACAAAAGAGCGGATTGCTGACACCAAGGCGTCAGGACGTAGCACTGAGATAAGAATAAGACGCTGGAATGGCTGGAGGACTTCCCAGTTGAAGGGGCTACCCAAGGAACGGTTAGCGTCTGGTGGAACAGGGCCTGGAATGAAAAATGAAAAAAATTCAATCAGAAAAAGATTATGCTTATCTAGTCAAGCTGGACCCAGAAATCTCAGTTCAAGACATTATTTGTGATGCGATCAAGCTAAATGAGTCGTTTGTCGACCCCGGTCAAATTTTTTTTATTACAGATTTGAAAAGAGCACAATCTCAGCATTACTTCTGTGAAAACTGCATGCTGATACCACTTGTGATTAAAAAAATTATGGAAGTCGGGACACCATGAGATGTGAAGAAGTGATGTGATGAAGTGGCCCTATTTTGGCCTGTATCTCCAAATGAAGATTCCTGACAAACGACTCATGTAGCTGGATTGCATCACATTTGTATTGAGTGACTCAGTCAGTCAGTGACTCAGTCAGTCAGGGACTCCATGACTCAATTAGTCACTCAGTGTCTCAGTCAGTCATTCAGTGACTCAGTGACTCAGTCAGTGACAACTGACTCAGTGGCTAAGTGAGTCAGCGACTCAGTGAGTCAGGGACTCAGTGACTCAGTCACTCAGTCAGTGACGCAGTGACTTAGTCAGTCAGAGGACCGTTATGGCTGGCCCGTTGGGTCCAGCAAAAAACATAAGATAAGAGAAACTGTTTTGGTTTACACATAAATTTTAATGCATGACAGATACTGACACTTAATTTTAAACCAATATTTGCATACTATTTTCATGTAAAAATGTTCAGGCGAGGCAGTGCAAATCTGTTTTTTGTAACGAGATCCAAAAAGTAGATTATTCCTTATGGGGCAAGCCCTAGTAACTGAAACAGCATTACCAATCAAATGAGATACATCCCAAATACTGGTTCTGTAAAGGTATTTGATGACAGTATCAATTCCTCCTACATATTTGCATTACCAGTCTGTTTGTCCTGGGACGTAAACCTGCTAGCCATCAACCTATAAGGATCCTCCGCCTTGGCGAAAGCCTGCCACTGGTCCACGCAGTTCAAGATGTACATACAGAGGCCCTGGAAGGCCTCCAAGGTAGCTGACAGGTACTGGCACTGCCGCCAGGCCTTCTCAGGAATCCACTTGGGAGGCACGGAGGTGTAACCTCCAGTCTGGCTGGGCCGGCTGTCCACGGAGGACACGGAGGAACGCCGGGAGGTAGCGCTGGTCACCCGAGCGCTGGAGGCACGATTGGTGGCTTCCAGACGCTGCATGGGAGTCAACCCATCGTGCTTCTCTAGGATCTCCGGATCCATGCTAGCTGCTAGGACCCCACCCTGAAGAAAGACTTGCCACTCCTTTCAAGGCAGTGGACGAGATTTGCAAAAATGTAAAAAAGAATGTCAAATTATTCTGAAAAAGCCTTGTCTGATGTTTAAAGTCATCTCTTCAAACAACAGACAAGTTGCGGACAAGGTTATCGCAACAGGCACACTGTATTCAGTATTTCATGTAGTTGCAGGATTCCAATAAACTTTATTGCAGGAAGATTCTTTGGATGTTGTTCAGAATCCCACAAGTAAGACTTGGATGTAATTGTGGCATCAAGCTTCCTGTGAAATAGTAGGGCCCGGTATTGTGTAATTTTCAAGAAAAGATGACATTTATATTTTGTCAAATGATGGCTCATTCTCAAAGACTTTTGAGTTTTACTGTCACTACTGCTTTGAACAAAATAGCTAGAATAGGCGCACATGGTAGGTGATGTTAGCGAGGGTGTGCGCGAGTCAACTCGGATCCATGTATGTCAACTCAGATGCGTCTATAATTATCAAAGACCGATGCACTGAACTGTTCAATTAAAATGCATGGGGTGTCAAATTAGAAATATCCTGTATTTACGAAACTGGCAGTTTAATTATATTGTTGTGTCTTAAAAAATCAGAAGTTATACAAAACAATACCATGGCATAACAAAATAAGTGTTGTCTGTTGTGATATAGTCCATGGGTTTTTTTCCCCACCCTCGGGGCAAATGGTACCCTTGGCTTCACCTCGGGTACAATGCACCTGTCGGGGGTTACAACGCCATATCCCACATCATAGCAGTCAACAATTGTTAAATGTTGCCTTCTTTACCTTCAAGGAGATACAGCCCATCTGGGTCAGGCTGTCTGGTCCGGGGGCGGAGTCGAGGACGTGGGCGTTGGAACGCATGATGCTGGTGCACAGCATGAAGGAGAAGACCAACTGGTGGTGGGCAAACAATGCTTTGGAGACCACTCTGAAAAATCACAAAAATAGCACATTTCAGATATTAAAATGGTTTGATTTACAGGTCTATAAGATCATCTGCATTTATCCCTTGTAATCAACCTACCAACTTATTATCAAAAAGCTTATATTAGTCTCACTCAAATGATGTCATTTCTTACAGACCAGCCACGTGCGTCGGGATTTTGTGAGCGTCAACTTGCATAACGCGCATTGGCTGCGTCGTATTTCGAACAACAAGCGCGAGCTTTTGAAATATTTTCAACACTGCGCAATGCGTGCTTGATTGCGTAAAATACGCAGTTGCAGTTCTCCTACAAAGATGGCAGTCTTTGAGAGAGACCTATTGGGATTAAAGATTGCACTGGTACTAAACACCCTGTGAAATTATTCCGTCTGGTTAGCCATTCAGAAATAAAAAATGTAGGTGATTTCAAATGATCAAACAATTGACAGATCGTTGGAAAAATAGTTCTATAGACAAAATCTGGTTTTGTGATCAAAAGGTTGTGCATGGTTTTTCATTGTTGTCTAATAATTGTCAGTGTAATATCCACTGAGCTGACACTTAAACAGGTTAGGTTTTGAACGTTCTTCTTTGAATTTCGAGTGGTGTGTTATTGAAAATGAACAAAATGCATTAAGAGCAAATGATCCTATATTACTCTGGGGACTGGAATCCAAATGTGTAAAACTTTCACACACCTGTTGAATATTAAACCCATCAGCTACTGTAACGCCTAAAACTGCTCATGCCTATTTACTCCCTGTAACCCCCGACAAACTGCCTGAGTACTCAATCCTTTTTAATGGATTTATCAGTGAATAAACACAATGTAATACAATGTAATACAATGTACAGCAGTTGCTAATAATGGGTTCCATATTTAGCCAACGCTTTCTACAAGGGTTACCGTATGCCCCAGTATGTGTGGATCGCACGTCATATTTGCAAAATGATTAACATAGGTATGACAAAAATATAAGGCTCAGCATGATACAAAATATATGTGGTGGCGATATCGTGCTAAGATAAATAATTCGCTACAGGAGACAACTTGACAATAAACCATTGTGCGATGCTGAAATTGATGGTTATTTCTCATGCCTCGTGTTAAGGCCAAACAAACAAAATACTGTGTTTCCGGTAACCTGACCGACCGTAAAAAATTTGCTGTACGTAGGGTCGGCAAAGATTTTTTTTTTTGCATGTGAACGTAAAATGAATAAATTAAAAACCAAAACAAAAAATACTTCGTGAAAATGTATAAACAAACTCGAATTGCTGTGAACGAAATCATTGCTATAGCGTTATGAAAGTCACAGGATTGTCCTCGTTTTTATCAGCAAGTTAGAAACAAACATGCCTTTTCTTTCTACACAAAAACGAAACAATTGCTATGGCGCTACGAACATGACGAAAGTCACAAGATTGTCCCCATTTTTATCGTTACACACAAAAATCATGTCTTTTTTGTCTTCAAAAACATGTTTCTAAATAATTGTTTACGTCCAAAACACTTGTAACATTTATGCCATCCGTATTTTTTTCGCCATTGTTGGCAGTTTACAAAAAACATTCAATCACCCAGTGAAGACTATCCTCTTCCATCTAATTCTAAGAGAACAACTGAAATCAACTGATAGGAAAACCTTTAGGCTAAATAAGATGAAAAGCTTAATAAAAATAGGTCATACTTTAATATTTCTAGGTTTCATACAAATGCAACGTCTAAAGTATCTATTTATCAACTATCTCTTTCTTTGCCAAACAATTTTTTCAGTACAAAATTTCTAACGAACCAGCTGTCGTCAAGCCAACGCTTGAAGATAACATTGATCTGATCATAATACTGAACAGTACTGTGACTTCTGCTTTGCCTGGAAAGCAAACCACGAATGAAAAAGCAGATATTGTAATTGATAGCCCATGTTTCTGTCTCATCCATCAATTTTTAAACAACCGGCGTGATGTTCAAGAGGTCATTTGTTCTTATTGATGGAGTTAAATATTGAAGAGCATTCATATGTCCCCTTGATGTAATCAAATTTTGAATGATGCATGTGATTCATCCGTGACTGTTTCAGAGTTATCTAGTCACTTGAAACACGTTTCTCAATCTCACTGATGTGTTCAATGAAAGGCAACGTACTGTTTACTGCCTGGCAACCTGGTTTAATAGGGATGAAACTTAATAATGCACGTCTTCTGGGCCAGGATATGCTCAAACGGAGAACAGTGTTAACAACATGTGAACTGAACACTATTGCAGACATAGAATTTGATTGTTGAGCTCCTTGTTTCAGTTACGTCGTAACTGTTTTATTCATCAGGACAGCATTACGAAGGCACTCAACTCTGCCTGTCAGATCAGTATCGCCGAGTGGTTTTCCTGGAACCTCGTATATTTCAAAGGAAATCAAGTTTGACAAGTTCTGTTGACCTTTCTTAAGATCAATATTTTTCATGGTTGTACACACGAGTCATAGTTTACGGTTGCTTTGAATTCCTGCGAAAATGGATGATACCAGTAATACCACTTGCTGTCCGCAGTATGATGAGGTGTATGCAAATTACTCCCGCCGACAACTCGCAGCTGCCGTTTGCGCAATCATCTCCATCGTTGGAACTACGGGTAACGTGCTGGTCATCGCCGCAGTCATTTTATCCAAGAAACTCCAGCACGCAACCAACATGTTTGTGTTCAATTTGAGTATCTCTGACCTTTTGACTTGCACATATTACGTTCCTGTGGCGATTGCAGCAATACTAGTCGATAGTCAAACTGTGAGAGACGTTCCTTGCAAAGTTGCGTCTTTCCAGTTTTTCCTTTGCCTGGGGTGCGGCATCAACAATTTAGCCTTCATTGCCGTCAACCGATACCTCCTGATAACCCGAAGCAAGGTCAGGTATCGGAAGCTCTTCAGTAGGCAACGGACTCTCGCGGCCATCGTTATGACCTGGACAGTACCAATGTGTATCATCCTCATTCCGGTTTCAACCGCTTACATCAGACTTGGCTTTGAGCAAAAAAACTCCAGCTGTTCATGGGTCCTTTCAGATTCCTCCCCCAACTTCAGCATTGTACTTTTTGTGACGTTTTTCCCGGTCCAGGTTTCTGCCATATTCTGGAGTTACCTGAGGGTTTTCCAACACATTCACAGCCACACCAAAAGAGTCCGACACTGGACTAACCCCATTGATGTGGCTGTTGTCATGGAAGTCCAAGAACCCCAGGCATTCGTGCGGCCTCCGAAACGCAAGAAACTCCAGACAGAAGTCACCAAGAACCTGTTCTACGTGGTTTGTTTCTTTGTGCTCTGCGTAGTACCGTACAACTTAAGCCTGGTTCTTGATCAGAAAGGCACATTTGCCATCATCGCTGGCATTATTCTCCTTAGCAACAGTTGTGTGAATCCCATCATATACGCCGCCATGCACCCCCACTTCAGAACCGTGTTCCGCTGCATCATTCGGGGGAAAATTTCACAGATACCGGGGAGGCGCTCTTGCCGATTAGTCCGGTGAAACCTTTCGAGTTTTCAACCAACATGCGGCTATCTTAAAATTGAAAAAAAGAAAGTAATCTGATAACTAAATAAATAAATTTGGGATAATCGTCTCTACTTGCAGCAGAAGCTGAATTGTGAGGGATGCAGCAACAATGAGCTGCAGGCATGTAAAGGCGCCTTACATGTAGACAGCCGACATGACCCACGTCTTACCATGGAACACAGCAAGATCGAAAGTGTTGATTTTTGCGGAGGGAGGAAAACCGGAGTTCCCAGACAAAAACCCCTGTGGCACACGAGAGCATCAACAAACAACTCTACTCACATATGATCCAAGCCATGCCACCCACTAAATAAAAAAAAAATACGGCAAAATTTGTTCCAGTTGCAAGGGTCATTTGTTGCACTCTATTTCCACAAATCTTCAAGAGAAGAGAAAGCAAACAGAAAAAGAAACGAAACCTCTTGGAAAAGACACACTATCTACAATTCAAAGTCTGCACCCCTCCCCTTTAAGGTAATAAGTTATTCAGTATCCAAACAAATTGAATTAAGTTGGGCCATGTTTTAAATAGGACTTGACATGAACAAGACAGGTTGCACTTACATGTATGTTACTGGATTCAACAGCGGTCCCTTGCTCTATGGTATATGGGTCATTCCACCGGGTTGGGGAACAATGTGTGACATATGACCATATTAAGGAAAGCATGAATGCCTTGCTAGCAGTTGCTCTACATAATATTTGTTGTTGGGTGTTTCACCACTGCAGAAAGTTTGAAATGATTTCAATGTATTTTGCCAAAAATATGAGCAAAAAATGTCATTTTGGATGTAACATTGACACCGTCTCAGTGTTACGTCCAAATGTGACATTTGTACTTTTTTTTTAAATTTCTGCGAAACATCACCCAAATTCACTTTGCGTACTTCTTACTATACATGCAACACAATAAGAAAGGCTTTTGTTACGGTAGTCAGGTATCAAATGGAGCAGAAATGATAGCTTGGTTGTGTGGATGTAACAATGACATGGTGTAAAACCCAATGTCACACTTCCATTGAGTGATTTTTTACACCGTTACATCCACACTTGAGGTATTGTTTTTGCTATATTTGAACCCCGACTATACCAAAACAAAAGTTTTTCTTGGTGCTTAGGTGTCCAGTTGTAAATATGCAATGTCAGTTTGGGTAATATTTTAAATACGTGTAAAAAATGGCAAAAAAAGAATATTTGGATGTAACATTGACACGGTGTCAATGTTACATCTGAATTAATACATTTTTGCTCATATTTTTGTCAAAATACTTTCAAATGATTTCAAACTTTCTCAAGTATTGAAACACCTTAAGACAAATATTATGTTGAGCAATTGTTTAGAATGCATTGATACTTTTAATAGTATAACCAAATATATGGATGTAACATGCACTGCTTCCCAACCCGGCGGAATGACCCATATCCTACTTGCATATGTTTTGTTGCAAAATGGA